TCAGATCACAGGAAAATACTTCCACAACGTGTGCCATGGACATTCTTGGAAAGAATAATAAATATGATTTTAAAGGGACATAATGTAGGGGAAGGAACATGGGCTTTGGAGTCAGCTAGAGCGAAGACTGATCTCCAGGCTTATTGGTTGCTACTTGCGTGACTTTGGACACTTCCCTGTGCCCCAATTTCCTCATTTTTTTTCTTCCAAGATTTTTTTTTTTTAATTCAAGGTAATTAACGTATTGTGTAGTATTGGTTTCAAGAGTAGAATTTAGTGATTCATCACTTACATATAATACCCAGTGCTTATCACAACAAGTCCCTTCCTTAATTCCCATCACCTATTTAGCCATGCCCTACCCACCTCCCTCCATCAATTCTCAGTTTGTTCTCTGTATTTAAGAGTCTCTTATGGTTTGCCTCCCTCTCTGTTTTTATCTTATTTTATTTTTCCTTCCCTTCCCCTATGTTCATCTGTTTTGTTTCTTAAATTCACATATGAGTGAAAAAAGGAGATCAATAACTCACTCAGACTGCTTTGGGGATAATTACAGAATATAATTTAGTCAAAGGGTAAATGGCTGTACAAAAGAAGCTACAATTTCATGAAATCTCTATTGTAAGAAGCAACAAATCACCCTTAGAAAGAGGACTTTTCAGGGCACCTGTATGGCTCAGTCGGTTGAGCGTCCGACTTCAGCCCAGGTCATGATCTCACGGTTTGTGAGTTCGAGCCCCGCATTGGGCTCTGTGGTGACAGCTCAGAGCCTGGAGCCTGCTTCGGATTCTGTGTCTGCCTCTCTCTCTCTGCCCCTCCCCCACTCATGCTCTGTCTCTCTCTCCCTCTCTCTGTCAAAAATAAACATTAAAAAAAAATTGTTTTAAAAAAAAAGAGGACTTTTCCTTCCTAATTTGTATAGAAATAGTGCCACTGTTTTGAAAAAGTCTAGTCAGTTCCTCTGCTATTAAAATATATCCATGGGAAAGATGGGGTGTCTTTATTTATGCTAACTGATAAAATACATATGCATACTTGAAAGTGAGTAATTTCTCAGTTTTAAGAAGATTCAGGACAAAACTTGTGTTTTTAGTTATTATTATTGATGTAATTTCATGGTTCTCACATATATAACTTGAAATTATTACATGTGTACACTTATATGGATATTATCACTTATCATTAGTCAAGAAATAAAATTGATTTATATGTGTGACTTGTGAAAGTAGTCATTACTTTTTTAAAAGTAAATGTGTAAACATTTGAAAAAAAGTTTATTTATTTATTTTGGGGGGGGGAGGGCAGGAAAGAGAGGGAGAGAGAGAATCCCAAGTAGGCTTCACACTCAGCACAGAGCCCACTGCGGAGCTTGATCCCCTGATCATGAGATCATGACCTGAGCCAAAATCCAGTCGGATGCTCAGCCGACCGAGCCACCCAGGGGCTCCAAAATTTGTCATTACTTTTTTAGTGATGTTTATTTATATTCAGAATAGTTATATTGAGTGATGACCATTTTAAATATATATATATATTTTTTTTTTCTTTTTTTTTTTGAAGGAGGGAGACAGAGTGTGAGCGGGGGAGGGGCAAAGAGACAGGGAGACTGAATCTGAAGCAGGCTCCAGGCTCTGAGCTGTCAGCACAGAACCCGATGCAGGGTTCCAGCCCATGGACCATGAGATCATGACCTGAGTTGAAGTCGGAGGCTTAACCGACTGAGCCACCCAGGCGCCCCAAATTTAGTCATTCGTTACTTTTTTAGTGATATTTATTTACATACAGAATAGTTATTTTATACTGAGTGATGAGCCTTTTAATTCCCCCAACGACTTCGCAAGGTACGTGTTGCCATTTCCATTTTTCAGATGAAGAATGGAGGCTCTGAGAAACCATACAACTGGCTCAAGGTCATACAGGTTATGACCGGTTAAGTAAAAGAACTGGGATGTTAACGCAGACCACCTAACTTTAGCTATGGAGAATGTCCTACTTTTTTTGAGATCTCCCTTTGTGGAGAAATCTTGAAACCTCCTGGAGTTAGCTGTATTTACATATTCCTTTTTTTCTTTTTCAGTGCTATTCATTTCAATATTTTAATAACCAGGAATGTGAATAACTTTTAAGTCAATAACATCATAGTTCAATCTGTATCCTTTAAGAGCCTATACATATGCACTTTTGGGAAAAAGCAGAGTTGAGGAACCAAAGAACACTACCACTGAGGAGTACTCATTAGGGGCATCACCCTGAACTAACACAGAGGTCACATGCTCCCCTGCCAGTGATCACCTCCAGCTGACTTCTTTCAGGTTGCACTTAAATAGAAACCCAGAGCACTTAGGTGATTCGCCAATGGTTAACACCTGGGACCAGAACCTAACTTTTGATGATAGAAAAGAGACCACCCTTCAGTTATGAAGCAGAATTTGGAGACCAAGAGTGTGGATCTGATATAGACGGATTTATGTTGCTGTGCACTTTCTCTCCATTTTCTTTGAATCAAGAATTTACCAGTCATCCATTACCATCAACAGTTAAACAGATCCCAGAGACAGAATCAGGACAGAAGCTAATGAGTTCTGTGACTAGTGTGGGAAATTTGCCAGAAGTTGATCATGAGTTTTTGCTCAAAGGTAAGTAGGCTGTCAGTTTGAAGATCACAATGATTCCGTGTGCCTCAAGATCTATTACAGGTACATTTAAAATTAATGGTGTCTTTGTCTTCATTATATTTCACCCAAGATGTGCATATTAATGCTAATTTTCATTTCTTTTTCCTTTGTGATAATTCTATTTTTATTTAAGTGCTGCATCAGGAATTTAGATTATCTGCTGTTGTCTGGAGGATCTTGGGGTAAAAGTCTTGAGTCAAAACCCTTGGGAAGACTTGATAGTCATTGCCACAATTTTTACATCCTTATTGATTTAGACCATTTTCCAGCACCTCATTTGCAGGCATAGACCTTCCCAGTAATTGCTTTTTGAAAGAATGGAGATATGATAAACATAGAAAGAGACACAAATAATTTGTCCTTAACTTAAGCTTGACTAGATAAGACTGAGGACAAAGATGGTGTCTGAAACCATCCAAAAGTTCTAGAACATGGGAATATACTTCCATTTAATATGGTTTTGTGGGAACATTTTTATTTCTCCTTGGTGATATAAGTTGTAGTTGAGAATAAAATTGTTTTTGTACTTTGGGAATCGATCTAGTTGGTTGAAACACTTATCTCATGCAGACTAGAAAAGAAAACACCAGAATAAGAAACAGAAATGCATCATTCAAAAATTTTATATCTTGGAAGACAAAAAAAGAAACGAAAAACGAATTAAGGCAAGCAGTCTACATGAACAGTACAGTTGGTAGAAAAGGGGTGACCAGAGATAGGCAGCCAGAAGCCAGATTCATTGCCAATTCTTCAGGAAGCATGATCTTTAGAGGGCTAGGCAGTGTAGTGGGCAGAGCAATCATGCATCCTTCCATTACAACAGAAGGTTAAGGTGGGCCATGAGCTCCTGTACTGCTTGCTCAGAGATGCCTCCTCTTGCCCTGGGCTGGCTGTGTCCTCTGTGAAACACTGGTGAGGCCTTCAGCTAGGGTGACTTCAATCCCCAAAAGAGATCCACAGACTGAGAAAATATGGAGAAGAAAAGGCCAAATGTTCAAGATGCAGGAGGAACTGACATACAAGGAAAGATGCTAATTTCTAAACAATGAATGGGGAGCAGTGAAATAATTTTGGGAGGCCTATGCATCTATAGTAGAATTTTGTTGAGTAAGAGAGAAGTTGAATAAATATCTCCTAATATCCTATAAGTAAATCTCTATGTACCTACATAAAGGTGGATTCAAAAAACAAACATTGAGAAATGTAATATGTTCAAATTACATAGGATACAGAATCCTCTTTCCTAATTCACGAGTTTGTAAGAGTAACAACTTTCCAATAAAAACAAACAATAAAACAAAATGAACAAAACTTTAAAAACTATCAACAAATATATTTATTGTGGTGGCTTTCCCCCCTACTAGATACACCTTGTTAGAAAGTAGTATCCCTTTTAGTTCCAGGTGGACCATTAAGCAGGTAATAACATTGTTTTTCCCCCAGAAAACACATGACTTTGCAAACATGTTCTATTCTCCTTGCTCTAGCTTTTGTTTTCTATGAAATCAGAATTTTCTTCTAATAGGTATGATTTTGTTTGTGGAAGTTACAGGTACATGTTTACAGACTTATATAACCCGAGGGATAGCAGAGGCTGAACCACACAGTGCTGACATAGATTGGAGACCTGTTCCCAGTAATCACAACACTTCACAGTCCTGTAAAGCACAGAAATCATCTCCAGTGCTATGGTTTCTTCCACATTTTGCCTTTCTCCAATCCCATATGGTATTCTTAACTCTGGTGTACACTCTCATGTTTCTTGCAGAAGGACAGGGTGAGGGCAATAGAACCAATCTTAACACGGTTGTTTCTGTGCTGAGAAATTCTATGATTCCAAATGCCAGGCCCTAGTATCTGAGCACTCTCTAGATCTCCTGGACAAAACAAGGCTGTTTCTCTTCCCTGATCTCTTATATTACTTTGAAGGGATACTGCATCTTTGAATTTGCAGAACTATCTTTCGCTTCTTAAAGCAATAGCTTGAACAATTATTTTTATAGGGAAAAGATGGTGCTTCTCCAGATGTCATCATTACGCTGTTACATCTTATAGCCTATTGATAGTTATGTACAAGATTTCTTGTCTCTCAGGAATGCACAGAAGCATGTAAGATAACTATTTGAAAACATCCCTTCTTTGAACTTTTGGCTCTTTGTTGTTAACTATGCTTGTATGAAGACTATAGCAACTATTTGGAATGTTGTTTAGATTGAGCAGTAACTGACACGTTGTCCATTTGTGGTCCTAATGGCTACAGCACCTGTCCTGGGCATCTGGTTGAGATAGCAGCATCATGAGTTTACAACAATCTCATGGGACCCTCTAATGTACAGTGCTGACTGATACCGATTTCTGTTGTTTGTCTTGGACCTTTCGCTTCTTCTGCTGCTGTTTGTCTTTGTTTTCTCGTTGTTCTGGAGTTTCTCTGCTGGGTTCCAGACCTTTGTTATCAGGTATTGCATCCTTACTTTCTTCTTTATTAAGTTTTTTTCTTTTCCTCTCCCTTTCTTTTTTTCCTAAAATGAAAGAATACACCTTTAAAAAATATACTCAACTATGCTCTCTTTGGTTATTCTAAGTTTTAAAAAATGAGTTAAACTTCTCTGTTGCAAATCGTACTCATAGATACTAAATATCTACTATTTAATTTTTTTTGCTTTTATTACTTATTTTTGAGAGAGAGAGAGAGAGAGAGAGAGAGAGAGAGAGAGAGAGAGAGAGATGGAGTGTGAGGGGAGGAGGGACAGAGGGAGAGGGAGACACAGAATCCGATGCAAGCTCCAGGCTCTGAGCTGTCAGCACAGAGCCCGACACAGGCCCTGCACTCACAAACCGCGAGATCATGACTTGAGCCAAAGTCAGACGCTCAACTGACTGAGCCTCCCAGGCGACCCCAAATTACTATTTAAATTATTCAACTACTTTCGATTAAGTCTGTATTATATTTTAAGAAATGTAAACATGAAGCACAAAATATAAGGAAGCAATGCATATATGATAATTCTGAACAGTCTTAGAGGGTTCTATAGTTGGTAATATACATTATAGTTTTGAATATTTAATATAAAATTTTGAATACATTCCTGCCATATAAGAAAATTTTAATGTGTATTTTGCTATCTGGCTCCCATTTAAGGCACTATTTTGTATTTAAATTTTTCCAAGTAGTAGCTACATATTTGCAGTCTGCTGATATAACTGCATGCCATCTACTAAAAGAAAACTGGTTTGCATAACAAATATGCAAATAACCAGGATAACTGTACCTTCGTTCAACACAAATGTTTATATGTTGAAATTAATTTCCTTTGCAATTACACGCAGGGGTGGTGGCAACTATAACTTGTCAATAACCCTATGGTATAAGCTACAAGGGCAGGAACACTGTGTCTCTATCAATCAAATGAGCAAATATTTATTGGATATACACTGGATTCAATGGAGGTCTCTGATCTTGAACTAGGTCTGAACTATAGATTTAGTTCATATTCACAGTATGGAGCATTTTAAAAAGTGGAACCAACATGATATTAAGGTTTTGATGTGGGAAGACATACTGCAAGGTAGACTGGAGCCAGGGTGGAAAACTGTTTCATTCTGTTGGTATTGGAAACTTGCTGAGAGTTTTAGGGGAAGAGAGTAATCTGAGCAAAGTGCATGAGACTTGCACCAAATTGGATAGACTGTTTTTATTTATTTCTGGACAGCAAATTAACTAAATATTTTATAATCATGTAAACATTATATATATGTATACACACACATACATACATATATATTCTAAAGTGCAAAATAATTTCCGGGGAATGGTGTTAGTAACATCCATTGCTACATATATCCCAATGAGAAAGTACTGAATTAAATCAAAATCATAGGAAATGAAAATTAAGAACCGACTAACTCCTTGATGTGGGACAAATTCTGATAATGTATATCCCCACAGACTGAGACGTGTAACATTTGCAATTACTATCTGTCTACAAAGGATCATTTTGGACAAAAGTATTTTGGAGACTTTATTTGCATGAGAGAACCAAAATATTTTCATGTCCTGAAATAGGCTGCAGATATTGAATTCAGTGGTTTGGCTTTCTTTTCCTTGAGCTCTGGTTACAGAATCCTAGGGAGCAATATTATTAATACTGCATATATATCCTTAGCCAACACAGTCTCCTTGGATTAATGATTTTAGGCCACAACTAGCTTTGTCTGAGATTATATTTGTAAAACCTTCCAACTGCTTTATGAAAACTTGCTTCACTGGGCTCGACATAGTGCACCTCCAAATTCTAAACTTTAAAGACAGTTAACAAAAATGAGAATTCAGACCACTGCAAGGCAGTCAAATTGTTTTGGATATGAACAAAAAATGTTAAGAGTTGAATATTATGGCTAGAGCTGAGCTAGTTCTACACTGATTCACCAATTCCATTGTTCTTTTCACTTAAAAGAATATTGCTGGATTGATAAAATTTTGGTGGAAGGAATCCAGGTTTGGTTTTGTTTTTTTCTCATTCTGGCTTTAATTATTAACACCTTTGAAGTGCTGACAGGAACTTGGTAACTAAACAGAGAAAACTGAAGAGTAAATTTACCTTCCTAAATATGTAGCCTAATGTAATTTTCATGAAACTGTATAAACTGAAAGAAAGAAATTCTGGTTTTCATGATATGTGCTTGGTTTTCAGAAGGACATGGCTGCAAAGGTTAGATTACATAATATTTCCATTTGAGGAGCATTTTGGAGGTGTTCAAGTTCAACTCTAAAAAAATGGTCAGTGAAAATCATTCCAGAATTCCATAAAAACTACTGACCCCAAACAAAATTTTTATGGAAATTATCCAAAAGTTCAGTGTTTGACATTGTTCTCTTGATGATGGTCCAATATCTTACAGCTGTGATCCTAACCATAATGTTCTGGATACATAAGAAATATATTGTTTCTTTCTTGGTTACAGATTGATTTGTATGTTTTTTAGCCACATGTGACAACATACTCAATTTACAGTGTATTTCTGCTTATTAGCAAACTGATATGATTATTTCTTAAGACAGGCAGACACATTTTTGGAAGTAGCTTGAAACTCAGTATTATAGTTTTATTATCCAAGGAATAACTATTTCGTCTGGGCGGTGAGTGTAAGGGGAGGCTCTAGTAAAGCAACAGGAAACTAGCACATTGTACATTGTTGTTGCCCAACAAAGGGTGATTGCACAATAGAAGAATGGGATTATTATTTTTTACGCGCCATGTGTTAGTGGTTGGAAACACTAACTACCCTTTTGCATAAATAATATATTTTCTTCTTGTCCAAGAAATAAAATAGAAATGCAGAAGAGTGGCTGCAGTCCATTAAAAATCACGTGCAATTGGGGAAATTTTGTAGGTTTTCATTAAAGGGGACTTTTTTTCTATTCTGCTGACTTTTTATTGATGGGATCAATAGTTACTTTTTTTTTTTTTTTGGATAATTTTGCAAACTAGGCATTCCAGTTATCACAATCTTACATATATGTTTGTGTTTTGTCATTCACTGCTTAGGCATGTATACACGTGCACACAAGCAATGGAATTGGGTTGTAGAGGGCTCTTACGATTAAAAGAATGTTCATCATCCCTCGATGTTCCAGGTATGAGGGCAGTGTTAGATAGACACTGTCCAAGAGAAATTGCTATTAGCAATCGAGCACATTCTGAGCCTTTGCAGAGAAGCACTATGGTGCAAACATTTGTTTAACAATGGTGTTTTTAAAGTCAGAAAAACACAGTGTTCAAATTCTAGGTCTGTCACCAACGAGTTGTGTGGCTTTTGACAATTTGTTGGTATCTCTCAGGATTAGCTCTCTGATATTTAACATACGGATAATCATTACTACCTACTAAATGTTGTAAAGATTACATGAGATACTTACAATGCACTTAGCATAGTGCTGGGCACACATCAATCATGGGTGAAATAATAGCTGATGTTATTAACTCATTACACAAACATGAATTAAGCCTCTACTCCATGCCAAAATGTGCACTAAAACCTGGGGACACTAATGAGATATGGAGACAGGCATAATAATTATAGTTACAAGCTAATGCTAAAATAGAGAGAAGCATGAACAAGATCCTACTGGGAGCACAGCAAGGAAAGCACTGAACTCTGCCAATGGAGATCGAAAGAAAACTCCCCAGACAGGGTGATGTTTCAGCTGAGCCTTAAAGAATGAATGAGCATTTGCCAGGCCACGGAGGGAAAAAGGGCATGTCAGGCAGTGAACAATATTGTCAATGAAGGCATGCAAGGACATGATGAATCTGGGGAGCTGAAAAAAGTAGACTTCCTTGGTTTGATCAGAGTCTATATATAGGACATTACTCAGAGAAGCTGGAACGATATACTGGACTCAACTGCCATGTTGGGAGTTAGTCCTGAGGATCAGTGATACTGAAAACTGGAAAAGGGCAAGAATCAGAATCTGAGAGCAAGGCAGAGTTTGGATATTTCTGTGACTAGTTTACAAAAGGCCAATGGGATACTCTGACATGTGACATTATTTTTTTTATTTCAGGGATACTTTGAAAGTAATTAGAATCCATAGAGGGAGTATAGGCAGTGACAGGTATTTATTTTTGAGCCTTAACTTTTAAGAGTACCTAAAATCTCTGTGCAGACCATTCTAGACACATGTTATTTAATATTTCATTGCAAACCACTATCATGTAATTGAATACATGATTGATGTTTTTGTGATAGTGAAATTATTTCTTATTAATACAGAAATAATATAGTCATTTATCTAAGCACCTCCTAGGGCCTTCTGCAGACCAGGTTTCCAAGTATAGGTGACTTTGAAAAATACATATTCCTAGGCCCCACCCCTGGAGTTTATGATTCAGTAGCTCTTATGATGGGCCCAGGAACCTATAGTGAATAATAAGTTCACTCCTAGTTTATTCTGATGTGCAGCCGTAATTAAGAACCATAGCTGTAGGGGCGCCTGGGTGGCTCAGTTGGTTAAATGTCTGACTTCGGCCCAGGTCATGATGTCGCAGTTCGTGAGTTTGAGCCCTGTGTCCAGCTCTGTGCTGACAGCTCAGAGCCCGGAGCTTACTTCATATTTTGTGTCTCCCTCTCTCTCTGCCCCTCCCCTGCTCATGGTCTGTCTCTCTCACTCTCAAAAATAAATAAAAACAAATTTTTAAAATTTGAAAAAAAAAAAAAAGAGAACCATAGCTGTAGACCAAGAGGAGATCCAATTTCCCTAAATGTATACTCTTAGAATTTATTTCACATCTCACGGTTTCTCATTTAATTTCTTATATATAAAGAATGTTTTTTTCACATACTGTAGCTGCTAATTTTTAAGGCAAGTTTTCTGGTTAGGTGTATCTGGAATAGACACCTAGATACAAAATGAAAATTAGTTGCAGACTGTCTTTTAAAAACCTGTTCAAATAGAAATATGAGCTAAAAGGAATAAACATGTAAAAAAGAATTGACAGAAAAGGAAATGGGCCTGAAT